AGCAATGCTCCGAAGTAGCCTCAAACCATTCAGAAAGGAAAGCAACAGAGAGAGCTCTCTCATTTCAGTTCTTTCAGCCCCGAAAAGCGTGCACAGCTACCGTGTGTTGTCCTTTGTAACCAACAACTCGCCAGCTGCTTCCCCAGGCAAGGAAGTCAGCATTTGGTATTCAGAGCATTTGCAGCCATTAGGGTCAAAGACAACCTCCTGCTAGAGGAAAGAAAAAGCAGCCCTCTGGCACTCGCCTGCCAGGCTAAAAGCACCAGTAGCTGTAGCAGGGATAGCTCCTGACATCCTACCCACCTAGCAGCAACGCGAGGCAGAGCAAACACCACCAAAGCTCCAGCTTTTAATGGGATCTGGCAGCCGCAAAAATCAAGGGGGAACACGGCAGGATTTTTCCGTTATCAAAGAGCTGCAGCAAGCAGCCTGCTGCAACTCCAGCACCAGCAGAGAGCAGCCCTCCGGGTCCCGTGGCAGCTTTGTTGCTGGCTCTGAGACCTGTTGATACAACAGCTGCTGTAAACAAGAAGTACATTAGTGGTGGCTCGCAGGATTACAGCCTCGTTGTTGCCCGAGCTCCAGCTTTTGCCTGTTTGAAACAAATTCAGGAGAAGCCTGCATCCGTTCCTTTGCAGATCCCCAAGGGAAACAGTCAATATCAAGTAAAGGATACCAGAAAGGCAACTGCTGTTGAAAAATATGCTTTTATCTAACTTGGAAGCTTTTTATTACAGCTATTAAAAAATGATAGATAAGATAACGATGTTGAAACCACAACGTCAGCATCTTGGGAGCTTTGACCAAGTTCTCTTCACATAAGGCGAGCCACTTTTGGGAGGACAGTTTCCCCAATGCCTCCAACTAAAATTACCAACAAAAGCAAGGGCAGCACTGGTAAAACTAATCTGCACCCACCACACAAACCTTAGAATGCCAGAATGACTCAGATATCTGATTTTAAGTATAAACAATTATTATCTGGGGCTTCTTTTCATAGAGCCAGGTAAACAAGAAGCTTCAAGGCAGGCATTTTCACAAGCTCCCTACTTTAAACAGTCCTACTTCAAAGCGTTAGCTCACAAAAAAAATTCCTTTCTCGTGTTCTGAAGTCCTACATGGCAAGTTTTCCTGTAAATCGACCCCCTCCTCTAGGGGATGCACTTCTGCTCATGTCAGGACATGGCACTCCCCTACAACACACAGCTGGACGTGTCCAGACTTCAAAGAAGGCTGCAGGCTGATTTCACTGTGGCTCCAGAGCACCAGGAATGCAGCTCTGCCCCATGCCACCTGATGATATGTCATAACCCAAGAGGCTTTTGTGTGAGCCTGCAAACCTGGAGCTTCACCCATCCTTACCTGGGAGGACATCACGTTTGGAACTCTTTTTCCACACCTCAGAAAAAGCAGGGACAAACAACGAGCTGGCTGCTGAGAGGACCGTGCATCAGGAAACAAAATGTCTGTAATCGTGCTACAGATTTCTATGTGTCCATGGGAAAAATTTCATCTCCCCTGTGCAAAAAGGGGATGATAACTCTCACAGAAGAGCTGCAGTGGTACAATTCTGTATTTCATCGGGAATGAAGGGTATTCCTACAGTCCAGATCGTGCAGGGAAATGGGAAAGGCACCACTATGACTCATGGCTCCCCTCAGATTTTTCAGGCAGCACTGCTGACATGAAAAGCAAGAGCAATGGAAACCCCAGCTCCCAGCTTCCTCCTCCAGATCCGGGCAGCTCGGGTGTTACTGCTGGGAACTGCTGCCCTCTGCTGTCACACAAAACACAGGCGAAATTCTCATCTGACAAAGCAAGATTTCAAAGGGCCCCATGGTTTTGGTCTGGAACCTTTACACCTCAGTTGCCTGCCCCTTTTTGTAGCTCATCCCATGTAACCTCCCGCAAGCCAAAGGTGAATTTGATGATTTCACTTAGCCCATCACCATCACTACAGCTCTTTCAGAGAAGAGGTTAGCTATTAGTTCAGCAAAACACCTCTTACTATCTGCAGATCTTTGTACTGGATTGTGCACAACGCCAGGGAACATGCCAGCAGATATCCTGCCCTCGGCACTGGGTTTGGACTAGACTGAAGGAATAAAATGCACAGCTGTCATGCCTGCATGGCCACATTCGATTCTCTCCTTGTCTCAACCCTCAGTGGCAGTGTCACCATTTAAAAAGGAATGTTCTGAAGGTACAATGTGAAGGCTGAAGTCTACATCTAAAGATGCAGCCCTCAGGTAGAAGAATCCTGGCCTTCTGTGCTCAGGATTAGAAGCATAAAGGGACAAGGAGAGGATACACCACGCACCCCCAGCCTGCCGGCAGCAGAAGGACACCTGCTCTGCACAGAGCTGCCAACTCACCTGACTTCCTCACCAGCAAAGTCAAACACTTTGGTGATTGTCACTTTTCCTGAATCTTTTGGCTTCTCGGAGTCTTTTGGTTTCTCCTGAAGCTTCTTCACATTCTTCTCTTCTTCAGCCTGTGAATACAGGAAGGAGAAAGCAAAGCAATGCATTCGTGCAGCCAAACCAAGTCACTGTTCCGAGTGGCCAAGGGCCCAAGACAGCACCAAGGACCCTCAGGCAGCACCACAGTTCAGTCTGGCTGGTCAAAGCACGTCACCCACAGACAAGAAGAAGCAAAGAATCCCTGCTGCTAGAAGGAAACTCCCTGTCTCCTTCCCAGACTCTCATTGGAAGTCAAGATTTAGAACAGACCCAAAATGAGAAGTGAAACTGTAATTAAATATAGGAACTGACAAGAATATATTGCTGCACTTCAGAAAGCAAGCACAACTCTGAAGAATTCAGTTTTCCCAAATCAAGCACAGCCAAAAAGCAAAGCTGCCAGGGTGGATTAAACAGAAATACATTCGGTTTTGCCCAGGAATATATGAGACCCATCGGTAGCAAATGCAAGGCTGATCTTCACAGAGAACCCTGAAGATACCAGGCCATTTGTCAACGATGTTGAGAGGAAAATAGCTTTCCTTAAGCTATCTGTCTACACTGCCTCTTTATTCACACAGTAACAATTAGATCTTTTAATGTTATACGTGAAAATCCTCAGACCATGCACATAATCAATGCAAAAACTTGAATTCGTGCTCAAAATCAACCACACACTGAGGACAGCTTCAGAAAACAAGTCCAAATTAAGAAGTTCACAAGAAGAGCAGAGGAATTGCATCTCCATAAATTATTCCAGACCGCAGGGGAACTTTTAATGACCACACGTGTTCTAGTGATCCACGCGTAAAACTAGAACTGCTCAGAAGAGAACTTTTCCTCTCTCCTTCTCTCTTGCCTACCTACAGCCACCTCAGCTGCTCAACCAGGATCAACTGAGGTGGAGAGAAGCGTGAGGCTTCAGAGAGAAGGGCTCTTCTGAAAGTTGCAAGCTTATGCAGCTACGCTGTTCTCCAGCTTTCCAGTGGTTAGAGAAAGAAGCGTCACACAATGAGAACTGTTCTCCTCACACGTCACTCGTTCAAGAGTCAAGATTATAGTTATAAGAGATTATTTTGGCCAATCCCCTAAAAAAGGGATCAATCGTAGCAAGAGAGGGGCAGTGGTGCCTCTCCTCTGTCTCCCTAGCTTTGGAGCAGCGGGAGAGGCTCAAGAAGCCACGGGGGAGAGTTGTACACACAAGGTAACTCAGACCAGGCCTCACTGTTTCTACTTCACAAGGGGACCCAACAACAGGAAGGGAAGCCACCAGGGCTCCATGGGACACTCCAGGATGCTTATGAGCATCTCCAAAAAAATCAGCGCCATCAGACTGTAGACCTCCCTGTCTGGAAGACCACCAGCTGCATATGTTTTGCCCATGGTGGGGCTCCAGACTTATAAGATGGATGGGGCAGGAGCAAATCCATCCCCTCCACCAGCCAGAACCAGCACTTCCCAACTTCAGCCCCTTCCCACACACATCTGTGAGGAATGCCATTTATAACACATCCCCTCGGTGAAGGCCCCGGTACCTTGTCAGCTTGCGTGGCCACCGCTGCTTTGGGCTTCTGTCCCACATCGCTAAGGAAGCTGGCCCAAAGCGCGTCCTCTTTCTTTTTCTCTTCTTCTTCCCTGTCTTTTTCTGCCTGCTTCAAGTCGTCCACCTCCTCCTCTTCACTTTCCTGAGCCTTGCCTTCCTCTTTCTCATCGGGCTCTAGCACGAGGCCTCCTTTCTTCCTCTTCCTGGAAGCAGACACCCAAAAAACCGCACTGAGACCCTGCAGCACCACCCCAGACACCAAACTTAGGTGGGCAAAACAATACAGACGCCCCGTATTCTGGCTACAGCACCCTGGGAGGCTTCCCCTAACCTCGGAGGGGGTGAGCTGGTTAATTACAGGCCTGCCCTGATCAGAAATGACAGTAATTAGGTGGAAAACGTGGTGAGAAGCCCTAAATGGGGCTTATAGGGGGGCATACAGTGTGGGCATACAGGTGGATCGTGGAGGAACCTCCAGGTGAGGAGGCCTTAAATATGCCTTATATGTATGGTTTTAGGATGCCCAGATGAAAAACTGCTTAATTAAGGGCATTATTAACGGATCTAATCAGCCCCTGGTGAGGGTCCCGAGGCTTCCCACCCTTTTAACCCCCAGCCCCGAGCCATAACACGCACCAAAACGAGGCATTTCTCCTCACCGAGCATCCTTCCAACCACAAACCCTCGCGGAGCACCGCACAGCGCCAAAAACAAGCCAAATTTCGGTGAATTCCCCGTCACGGCCGCGTCCCTACCTGGCTGCGGGCCGGCGGGGGCTGCTCCTGCCGCGGGCTGCCCGGGGCCGCGCCTCCTCCTCCTCCTCCAGCAGCTCGCCGCCCTCATCCTCGCTGTACTCCGCGCCTGCGGGCACAACCGGCAACGCACCGCGCTCGTTAGGCCCCCCGGCGATTAATTAAGCTCCCCGGTGATTAATTAAGCTCCCCTAACCAGCCCCGGCCCGGCGGGAGGCTCACCCGAGGGCACGTAGTCCTCGTCCTCGGCCGAGCTGTACGCCTCCTCCTCACAGCCCGACATGGAGCCGCCGGTAACCACCGAGAGCCGCCGCCGCCGCCAGAGCGCCGCCCCCGCCGCCGCCGCCGCCCTCCAGCGCCCCCTAGAGGGGAGGACCCCGCTGTCCGCCCTGGAGGGAAGCCCGGCCCGCAGCCCCTCCGCTTCCGGGTGGCGCCCCGCAGCCGTTGCCATGGCAGCGCGGTGCTGGTTGGTGGATGGAGGTGCCTGTCAGCGCGCTGCGCTCTCCTATTGGTCGAGGCGGGGGGAGGAGGGAGGGGCTGGTGAAGCGATGGAGGGCGGCGAGGCGAGCGGCGGGCTGCTGCAGCAGATCCTCAGCCTGCGCTTGGTGCCGCGCTCCGGTAACGGCACCGCCGCCTACTCCAACCCGCTGGCGGCCTTCTCAGGTACGGACACAACCGAGAACGGGGCTGGGAGCCGGGCCCGGCCTTCCCGGGGGGCCGCTGGAGGCCGCTGGGCCTACCTCGGGCCTAGCCCGGGCCTGCCCGGCCCCGCCATGACGCGCCGTCCCCCCGCAGAGATGTGGTACGGGGTGTTCCTCTGGGCGCTCGTCTCCTCGCTCTCCTTCCACGTCCCCGCCGCCCTGCTCGCCCTCTTCACGCTGCGGCGCCACAAGTACGGCCGCTTCATGTCGCTGGGCCTGCTGCTGATGGGCATCGTGGGACCCATCACCGCCGGCATCCTCACCAGTACGGCACCGGCCGCTTTGGGCAAAAAACACCCAGGTTTGGGGGCTGTGTAAAAAATGGGCCGTGTCCGTGGGCTGGCTCATCGTGGTTTGGAGCCAGAGGCTGTCCCCAGACAGCTCAGCACCTCACGGGGGGCTTGGCGGAGCTCTGCCAATGCTTTTCTCCATGAATCTCCGTTGCCATCCACATTCGTTGCCTGGTGGATAAGATTTATCACATATCCAGCCCGCTGGGCTGTAGCCCCCTCCCCGTGGCACAGCCGTGTGTTTTCCACGCCACGCAGTAACCTTTCTGCTTTCTCCCCCTCTCCGCAGGTGCTGCCATCGCAGGAGTTTACAGAGCCGCAGGGAAAAACATGATTCCCTTCGAAGCCCTCATTTTAGGCGTGGGTCAGACGTTCTGTGTGGTGGTGGTTTCGTTCCTACGGATTTTAGCCACTCTCTAGCTTTCTTTCGGATGTTAGCGCTTGAAAATGGAAGGGACTCCAAAGACCTGCCCCACTCCTGGGCTCTGTGAATCGAGTAACAAGGGAGCGCAACTCGAGGGGTGCCTCAGTGTGCGCTTCCTCCCCTGCTCGAGGCCGTGTGAAGGCTTTCTGCCTCCAGGCTGGTGGCAGAGCCTGATCTGAAGGGCTATGTGCCACAAACGTGCACTGGAGAACGTGCTTTCTGTAACTTCTGTTGCTCGTGTGCCACCGTAACGGCTGGGCTAGCTCCCCCTGGCACTGCTGAAGCTGTGCCACTGATCCGTGAGCAAACAGCTGCAAGCAACGCCCAGCTGCTTCCTGGCTAAAATGTTCCACTAAAGGGGTCCCTGGTCTGCTTTAGAAATTAAGATGAGATTTAATTTTGTTACATTTTCGTAACACTAAGTGCCAAGTGAAACTTTATTTCCCTGGGGGAGGCTCAGCTACCTTCTGCAGGTGACAAATTGTGGCAGCAGCAGAGCATAACTGAACAGCAGCCACGCCTGCTGTGGTGTCTTCAGCGCTCAGTTAATGCTTTGACCTCTTGCTGCTTTGTTTGCAGTGAGCCCAAAGCTCTTTTAGTGAGAAATTTCCTTTATTGTTTTTCTTCTGGCCCTATCTTTGCTCATGGTGAAGTTGGGGAGCAGCAAAAGGAAAAATCATAGCTGAGAATGAAACCTTGCGGCCGAGAGCTGTGAACATGCCTCGGGGCAAGGGAAATGGTGTGAAAGTTGTGATTCTAATCAATTTTATTACTGTGAAGCTCTTCAGACACTGGACGTCCTGCCCGGGAGCTGCACCCCGCTGCCTGCAGCAGCAATCCCAGGGCACGTGTGAGCGTGCACGGTTGTTTCTCGGGCTTTGGAGGAGATCTGTGTTCCTGAACTCATCCTGATTTCACCTGCTGAACGTGCTCACGTCGGTGTGGGAGAATTGGACATCTTCACTGGCGTGCAAGCATAATTCTAGATGCCCCTCAACCCCTACTGGCCGAGGTGCACTCCCTCCTAACACACTGGTTTAGCTTTAAGTGGACTTTTCATTAATTCTTCATCTGCCCCTTGCCTGGAGGCGTGCTGTGCGCTCAGGGCACTCAGGTGTGCTCTCTGGGGGGTGGTTTTTGGGGCCGTGGGGAGGCTGGGGCTGAATCCTGAGGCTTTTGCTGCGTGGAGTAGCCAGCCCCAGGGCTTTGCTGGGGTCCCTGCTGTTTTGTGGCTGCTGCCATCATCTGGGTTGCAGCAGGGAGGCACCATCCGTGTCCGGCCTTCCAGGCCACGCTTCCCACCTGGGTTGTTTCTGAACTCGTTGGGTTTCCAGAGCAGCTCGCCCTCCGTGTCTAATCCCCCCCGTACGGCCAGTGGTGTTCCACAAAGGTGATGAAACAGCCCTGAACGGGATCACGTGCATCATGAAAAAGAAATTCTCTCGCTGTGATATGACTTCTCTTGATCAGTCCTCTGGCAGCGGATGGAGAAAGTTGTTTTTCAGGAGCTTGAAGGAGAATACGCTCAATTTTAGCCTGTGTTAATCCAGGGAATAAAGCTGTGAATTTTAAGAGCTGAATGCAAATCCTTCTCCTTGGCTGGGTGGGGTCTGAGCCCTGGGGCTCTGGTGGGGCCTCTCCCCTCTGTGCTTCCAGCCCCTGCCCCAAATGAGAAGCAGGAGTAACGAGTGAGCTGCTTGGATCTCCTGCCCCTTCCTGCTGCTTATTTCAAATCACCACGCACAGCTTGTGCCTGGAGCACCTGGTTTAACTCACTGACCCGTCCTGTCCTTTCCCAGATGGATTAGAAGTGCTGGGGCTGGACGGGGCGGGTCTGGCCGTACCATCCTGCTGGTGCCCTGAGCCTACTCCCCTCATTCTGGAGAACAAATGGGAAAAAAAAAAATCACTGGGACAGACAGAAAACCCCCTGTTGTCTGCCTGCTGAAGTCTCCCAGGGTCTGGTTTGTGTGTTTGCAGCTTGGGCACCACCTGGCAGCTGTGTGGCTGTCCCAGCGATGCTGCTCTGTGCCTGGGTGCTGTGAAATTTGCAGGGAATTCATGTAAAGAAGAGGGGAAGGGTTGGCTGCTGCCTTCTCTTGGTGGGTTTAAGCAGTGGGGGCGAGCTTTGAGTCCCTTTGGTCATCGTGGAGCACAACAGGAACCTTGGCATCCCCAGCTGCCCGCCTGCAATAAAACCAGACCCAAACAGCGGTGTAGATTCGAGCTGAAGCACCAGGGCAGTCTGAATGCAGGTTCCTCCCTCTCATCACATTATTTCATTGTCCCCTTCGCCTTCCTTCAAGCAGAGGAGTCTCTTGAGTCTTCAGCAGGTGGTGGGTGGCTCCGCTCGGCCAGAAGGGTTTGGGAAGGCTGGGGTTTGGAAATGCTGTTCTTCTGGGCTGGGTAAGTGCCCCACGACTGCTTGGGAGAAGAAAATTCCCGATACACCACAACACGAGCTTGCCAAAAGCTGTAAAGAGCTTGAAAATAAAATGGAAATGCCAAGAGCCCAGCAGGGAACTCCATGCAGAGAAACCTGCCTCCCAGAGAGTTTTATTTTTCTGCTGGCACTCCTGATCCTGGCAGTGATGATCAGTAAACGCTGTAACGAGCTGAGGTGAACGGAGTCGTGTGTTTGTTCGGCAGGAGGGTGGGGTGGTGAGAAGGTTGGTGTTGATTTTGGGAAGCCACGCTCCTTTTTGCCTGGTGCAGGGCTGGTTTCTCCTGTCCAGGGCTGTCTGCCCCAGGGCTGGCAGGTTCCTTGCTCTCTGCAGCCCCATGGGGTGGTTCTCGGTTGGGGAAGGTGGCTTTGATGGGGACAACATCTGCATGATGGGGTGTGCATTATTTTATAGGCTACGTACAGCCTATAAAGATCACCAAAACGAGCTTTTCTAAGAGCACAGCAGCAGTGTGCATTAGGGATTCCCCAAATCACCCCGCTGCTGCCACCAATGCATGCTCCTTCCTCCCCCAACCCCCTTCCCAGTTGCCCAGCTCACAACTGGCCTGAGACAACGATGCGGCGGGGGCTTCACTGGCAGTAGAAGGTGAGGACATTCTCCTGGTTTCCCCTGGTCAGGACAATGGGGGGCCTCAGGTCCCGCGAGAGGCTCTCGAGCCAGGCCATGTAGAGGGAGCTGGGGCAGCGCCCCTTCCTGCCCACAGGCAGCGTGCTGCGGGACGGGGCCGCCTCAGCGAGGGCACGGCCTCCTCCGGCACCGATTTGCAGCTTTTTTCCCTTAAAAAAAGCTCCTCTCCCTCCAGGACCAAATCTCTTGGTGCTGCCCCATCCCACGAGGGTGTCCGGGCCCCGAGGGAGTGCAAGGAAGGGGAGTGGGGGGATCCCAACACCTACATGGCAATGAGCGCCGCGTCCTGCGAGTGCTGCAGCAAGATCTCGTTCAGCCTCGCTTGTCGGAGAGACTGCAGAGCAAACAGTGAGGTTTCAGGAAAATAACCTAATATTTAGGAAATAACCGTGCTGGGGGCAGAAAATAACCTAATATTTAGGAAATATCCATGCCGGGGGCACCACGCCGTCCCCAAGCACCCCAGGGAGGACTGGCGCAAAAATTTTGTGCTCTGAAAATTTGGGGAGTGGGGTTCCCAGAAGCACAGGGTTTGGGCTCAGAAGCAGGAAACCCTTCGCAGACCTTGGCTCTGTGCTTGCGGAGCTCCTCGTCGGAGATCTTCCGGGGACAGCCGTGCCTCATCTCGCCCACCGCGGCCTCGTCCTTGAAGCCGTCGTTCAGCCTGAAGGGCGCGACCAGGTCGTCGAACCTCTTGATGCTGCGAGATGAGGAGGGCAAATGATGAATTTTTAAAAATATATCTGGGGAACTTTTTAGGTTCTTCGCGTTTTTAGCAAAGCTTTTTTCCCCGCGTGCACCACAGCCAGGATTTACTTATTGCTTCTTATGACTTATCTCTTATTATTCCTTATATTAATATACAGAAATTGAGATTTTCCCAGCACGCTGTGACTGTGAGCCAGGGTTTGGCCCCATCACAGCAGCATCCCCCTGCCCCGTGTGCCCGGCCCCATCTCTGCATAAGCGTGGGGTCCCCCTGTGCCAAAATCAGGGGGTCTGTGTGCAGCACAAGGAGTCTCAGGGTATCCAGGGGGATGCATTTACTGCTCCGGCTGGGGCTTCTGGTTGATATCAGGCAGGACGTGGACCTCAGTGGAAGCCCAGGCGGAATTTGCTCAGCAGTGACACGATCCTGCCATGGAGAAAGGGACAAATTCCAAAAACTTGGGGACATGCCCCAGCTGCCTGAGCTGGAGCACCCAGACGATACCGCTCTGGCACGTACGCCTTCCTCTCCTCGTCCATCCTGTTGATCTGCCCGCCGACAAACACCCGGATCCTGCATTTTCCCCACCGCTTCTTGCGCCCGAGGAGGTAGGGGATGAGCAGCGTCAGCCCTGCGGGACACGGCCGCGTTCACCCCGGGGCGTTTTTAACCTGCTCCCACCCTCTTCTATCGCCTGCTCCCACAGCATGGGGCAGGGCTCACCTCCGTTGTCGAAGAGCCAGTAAATGTCGATGGTTTTCTTGCCCTGCTGGCTCTGGAAGACGGTGCTCGCCTGCTGCTCGGCCTCCAGCTCCCCGGGGTCGGCTAGTGAAGACACGCACCGCTGCCAACCCCTCCCCACAGCACTGCTCCGTTATGGGGATGAGCAAACCATCTTCTTGTCCCTGGTGAGCTCAAATCCTGCCCCCTGGGTGCAAATCCAGCTCCCCAGAATGAACCCTCAGGCTACAGGACGCTCTGGGCATCCCCGGGTGAGGACTGACTGGTGTCCTGAGGCCCTGCCCTGAACTTAATTAATTGGGGAGGGAGGAGAGGAGCATGGGCAGTGGGGTGAGACCCCCAGGAGCACCCAAATTCAGCGTCCTGCCCCACTTCGGTGCACCAGACCCCATAACTGGGACAGTCCCCATCAGTGCCACGTCCCCGAGCCCCATGCAGCTTGTCACCACTCCAGAGGTGACGTTAAATCAGGCCCATCCCTGGCTGTGTGGGACGGTCACCGAGCAGCCCCGGGGACACGCACACCCATCCCCAGCCCAGCGGTGACATCCCACTGCAGCCTTTGCGTGGGAACAAGTCCCATGGGACCCATCTTCGACACTCACTGTGAGCTTGCACCACGCGGGAGACGTTCAGCCCCTCCTTCATCCTCAGCAGGCACACGCCGTACTTGAAATCAAAGGCATCACTGGAAGGAGAAAGAAGGCAGCTGGCGGTGCTGGCTGTCCCCATCGGACCGGCACCAGGAATTAATGCCCACCCCGCACGGTGTGGCGTGTCCCTCTGCGTGGGGACGGGGAGGGCTGAGGGGGGCTGTACCTGCATCAGCATCTGGATGCCGCTTCGCAGGTTGTCTGGGAGCGACCCCGCCCTGGGCTGGGCAAGGGGAAGCCCTCAGGGCCTCCCCAGCTCCTTGTCATTGCTGCTTTAGGAGCTGGGGAGCTGGCACCCAAGGCACAGCCCGGCCCTACTCACGATCAGCACGTTGCCACAGATCATCAGGCTGAGGTTCTTGGTGAAGGTGACCACGAAATCCACCAGCGCCGGGCGAAAGTTGGGGGGCCTGGTCAGGACCAGGCACTGGGGCCTGAGGAGGGGGGAAAGGAGAGGACATAGGGTGGCACCGAGCCCCTCTGAGTGTCCTGGCTACCCCCGTTCCCCCTCCATGGCACCGAACCCAGACCCCCTTGCCTGTAGTTCTTGATGTGCTCGTCCACCTCGCTGAGCCCCACCGAGTAGCTCAGGGCCATGTTGTAGGAGCTGGCTTGCATGGAGGAGCCCCAGTTCATGTCTGCATGGAGGGGACGGGTCAGCAATGGGGACAAACACCCCGGGGGGGACACGGGGCTGTCCCCGGAGCCACCACGCACCCGGCTTCTTGTACAGGACATAGCCCAGGAGGAAGACGACGATGCCGAGGGCGATGAGGGCCGCCCACCAGGTCAGCAGGAACATGATGAGCACCGAGATGGCGGCGCCGAAGAGCACGGCCCACTTGCTGTTCTTGTTCTTCCCATAGCCCTTCCCGAAAAAGCCTATGAGAGGGTAGAGCTGGTCCTTGCAGAGGCACTGCGGGGAGAAAGGCGTGAGAGGCACCGGGCCGTCCCCTCCACATCTCTGCTGACAGTCGTGGGGACAGGGACAGGGGACAGCCCTCACCTGGAAGACCTTGGGGGCTGAGACTGAGGCAGGCTAACGCTGAGGACAGGGTGGCACCAAAGATCCCCGCCGTGATGAGGGGACCGAATCCCGACACCATGCTCGTGCTCTGCCCAAGAACCCAGCGGTCAGGACCCCCCGTGCATCATCCTGCACCCCGACCCTAAAGGATTTCCAGCCCCCAGCCCCTTCCCTCAGCGCTGCCCCATTCCACATCAGAAAAAAAGCAGCGAAAGGAGCCAGCAGCAGAGCCTGATTCTGGCTGATGGGAGCCGAGGAGGCCCCGGGCACACCTGGTAGTGGTTGCTGAGCCTGTAGGGGCAGCTGTGCCGCTGGGCGCAGTCGGTGAAGTTCCAGCCGAAGCCACAGGCCAGCCCCTCGCAGCCTGGCGAGCCCAGGGGCACGCTGTCGTTCAGGCTGCCCGAGGCATCCCAGACCACACAGGCACCTGTAGGGCACCGCAAAGCTCGTGTCTTGCTCGCCCACCAACCCCAAAAGATGCTGGGGCACCGTTCCTGGCTCTCACCACCCCTCTTCTCCTCCCCGCTTCATGCGGATCCCACCTGCCCACGCTCACCTACGGTAGCAGACAGCAGCAGGTAGGATATCGTGGTCCAGAAGATGGCCATCAAGGTGCCCTTGGGGATGGCCACGGCAGGATCCTGTCCGAGGGAGGTGCAGAGAGAAGCAAAGCAGCCTTCCAGGGACCCCCAGGGATGGTTTTGGCCCACCCAAATTTCTTGCCCATCCAGTTTCCCGTCCTGAGATCTGCCAACTCACGTGGGGATGGTGAAAACCTACCTTCAGATCACCCGAAATGTTGGCCCCAGCCAAGATGCCGGTTGCCGATGGAAAGAAAATGGAAAACAAGCTGAAGAAGGAGCCCTCGGGTCCACGCCAGCTGGGCACCAAGTTCTGGACAAAGATGTTGGCTGGGGAGGAAGCAGAGGAGAAGCATCTCCACCCAGCTCTGCACGGCCGGCTGCTCCCAAACCTCTCTCACAGCACTGCCTGGAGCCCAGGTCCGTGGTGGACCCACCTCTGTAGCCAAAGAAGCCCTTGGCTTGCTTCTCCGCGGTGGCTAGGATCACCGTCCCCACCAGGTAGTTGGCGAAGGAGACCAGGATGACCAAGAAGAAGAGGACCTGGGCCTGGGGGAGCAGAAAGGGGCAGCCGGCTCCCCTGGGCTGGAGGCCGGGCCGGCCTGAGGGGGCGAGCGCTACCTTTGCCTCCCACTCCATGCCGGCCAGCGTCACCTGCCCAGCAGCAGGGTGACAGGTCACCACCCCGATGATGCGGATGTCGTTGGTGGGGTCCACCAGTGAGGGCGTCGTGCTCCTGGGGAGGGGGAACCATCACCGGTCGGGAAGCAAACCTCCCTGTGGCAAACCACCATCAGCTGAGGGTTGGTTACCAGCGTTAACCCAGCGTTGGTGGCTTGGGAAGGGCCAGGAGAAGGTTTTGGGGCGGTTCCATCAGCAGAGGCTGTGAGGAACCTGCTCCCTCAGCAGGTTTGGGGTGTTCGGTGGGGTTGTGGGGCTGGGGACGCGGTACCTGACTTCACTTTGCCGTTGGTGGATATGGCGGAGATGGACAGGCCGGTGATGGTGGTCACCGCCACCGACATCAGGATGATGAGCCACGTCAGGGCTGTGTGGGAGAGGACCGATGGCACCCACTGGCTGGGTGCCACCAGCAGGGGACGAAGGGACCGAGGTCACCACGGAGCTGACCCGCAGGAGCATCACCCTGCACCCGGGCAGAGCACAGCCGGGAGACATCGGGACCGGCCTTACCTCGAGGCTGGAGCGGAGGTCGGCCAGCGAGGGCCTCCCCCTCCTGGCTTCACCCACGCCCTTGCTGTTGGCGTAGTGCTCGTAGGCGGGCACCACGTCCATGGTGTTGTAGCCGAAGGTCCTGGTGCAGAGGGTGCTGGCCGAGAGCTGCGTGCCCTCGCAGGGAGGCCGCTCGGCCTCCTCCACGCCCAGCAGGGTGCTGATGGTGAAGCGGCCGCTGCAGTGGGACAGGGGCTCCGGGCAGGGCAGCTCGGACATTTTTGGCTGCCTGAGGTCCTGCTGCATGGTGCCGGGGTTGGGCTCGGGGGATTTATACCCAGGCCAAACCAGGGCGAGCCACCCGGCACCCCCCCAGCGCCATGGGGGACGTGATCGGCTTGAACCACCCCGAGCTGGCCAGGGGGAAAAAAATAGGCAGGGGGAGGTATCAAAAATGCCATAATCAGCATCGCTGGCTTCCAGTGCCTGATCGGGGCGGTGATAACAGATTGGAGATTAAGTCCCAAGGACAGAGCGGCAGAGAAGCACGGTGCTGAGCTCGCCTCCAGCCCCGACCCAGGAATATTCAGTTCCCACCTGGATTTATTATGGAAAACAGCAGCAAGTCCCACGCACACTGCCCCTGCCCTAGGGTACTGCCACAGACCCAGCAGACCCCATAAATCATCTCAGCTGCTGCTGGCGGTGCTGAGCTGTGCTGGATGTGTGAAACCAGGGGAAATGGGGGAGGAAGAAACCACAGCATGAGGGAGGTGTGCCAGGGCTGGGGGGCAAAGATGCTCACAGCCCCATAACCCCACCAGAAACCCCTCTGGACCCCAGGATGGGGGAACGGCTGAGTGCCCATGATCCAAATCTCCCCCCAAACCACATCCCTCATTTAACCCTTCCCCACTTGACAAAACACGAGCAGATGCTCACTTTGCAGCAGCCAGAGGCTGGGAGAGGGATGGGCGCCTTTTATATGGAGGTGGGCGTCACACGTGCACCAAAAGCCATTACAGAGAAGATCGCTGAGGACAGCGAACAAGGCAGGCAATAAAATTTGAGGGCAACGCTGCAGCCCATTGGAATTTCACCCCACTTACTTTGTGAGTTAATGGAAAATTCGGGTTGCCTGGCCCGCTGCCTCAGGCTGCCTTTTGCACTCACAAATTTTAACCTGCTTTTTGAGGACTTGCTCTTGCATCGCTTGTGCGTGGGCAGACACCGCCCTCAATCACACATGGCCGGTGTAGAGCTGCTTCCCCGGGGAGCTGAGGACAGGCAGCGCCTGTATTTTGCACGATGGTGTGAAATACAACACAGCACTCCTGGTGCCACTGCTGTCCCCAGCGGAGGTGGCATGAGCCCTGCACACCCAGCCTCCCTGGGGGGCCTGGATCTCCAGGGGGAACCCGGATCTCCTGAGGAGGAAGCCCAGCAGCCCACTCACCTGCAAGCACATGGGGATGGAGATGGAAGCCACCAGGACTCAGCTGCAATTCCCCGTGGAACAGCCGGGTGTCTGCTGTTATAGTTTGCATCCTGCCCACGTAATGCCCAAACTCTGCCCCTGCTCCCAGCCCAAATAGTGCCAGGAAGTGAGCAGCTCCCTGCAGGGCTCAGGAGACACCAGGGAGAACTGCCCAGACTCGGTACATCTCCAATCTCTGCTTATGTGAAGAGCAATGAGATGCAACAAGGAGAAAGCTTCAGGCTTTCAGCAGCTAAGGCAATACCTCCTGCAAGGGACATCAGCCTCTGCCCGCAACAGAAACAGCAGCAGACTCGTGCCTAGAAGCAACATCTTTATTTCAGACCATCATTATTTCACCTGAAAACATTAACTGGCCCCAAACCGGGCAAATCGCAGGGAACCTCTTAAACAGAAGGAGGTGAAGCACAGCAGAAGGATGCTCCAGGAGAGGCTCGAGGACTCCGGACGGCAGGCGAAGAGCGAAGCGAGTGGTATGATGCAACCCTGGTGTAGTGAAATAGCCGGATAGTAGGATGCGCTTGTCGTCGGCCTGATTCACAACACCAGCTGCAGCAACAATACCGGGGCCGTCCCGCGCCGGCGACAGCTCCTGGGGACCACGAGCAGAACGAGGAGAGCGCTGGGGCCGAGCTGCTGGTCCACGCTGGCTATTAAATGCCTCAAATGAACCTTCATCTAGTTACACAGGGAACGGTTCGATGCTCAATATGTGGCTTCTTTTAAAGTTTGCCAAGGCACTGGATTCCTCCAGGTCTTTATTTAAGTTTTAATTGTCCCGTTTCTATCTCTGTTAAGAGGGAACCTACCACCTGGATGACACGGACCATGCAATTAGAGCAGGGATTTAGCCCTGACCGCACCATGCAGAGCAGGGTTGATCTCCACGTGGCAGGGGAGGAAGCCTGAAAGGAGAAAAAAAGTGGTTATTCAGGCAGCTGCTGGCAACCTCACCTGGTGGGCCAAAGGGATCGCTTCCCGTCCTCCTCCAGACAGCAAATACCTGACTGGGACTAGACGAGCCAAGCACACAGCGATAACACTGCAGATGCCACTGTGAAAATACTGAGAAGAGAGAGCATTACTGGGGGAAAACACCAAAAAAAATGAGCTGAGAAGAGGACAGGATCCCACCAGTATCTGCCAGCTCCACGGCAGTTTGTAGGCAGGGACCTTCGAGGCACGTTTCAGCAGATTTTCTGCTTGTTGGCACGTGGCAGCTAGCTGTCTTTATTAGCTCCATTTACTTTTTACCAGCAGCCCACAATTAAGCTCCTGGCATAAGTTTAACTCCCCTCCTACTGGACAGGTAACATAAGCCAGACATTTACAATGAGCATTTCCAAATTTCCCTGCAATTCCCCTGTAATCCCAGAACACATCAGCCAAGACCTCTCTTGACAAAGGGCTTCAAGCTTTAAAATCTTCAAAGCTTTAAGCACTGTTACGCTGATATCATGGCACTTAAGAACCCTGGACAATGGATCTGATGCCCTGCACGTCACTGCTGCATCTGTGCAGGGGCAGCACGCCCAGAGACACGCAGCTTTCACCCTTTGAGCCCTCTCAAGCAACACCAGCGTGGGCTGCTTTAGATCTTAACCAGTGAGCCACCCCCCAGGCTGCATTTCATCGTCCACCTGCAGAGTCTGTATTGCAGAGGATTAATCCTGCAGCAGGAAAGGGAAATTATCCTAAATTTAATCTGCAGCATGAAATCTGTGCTTTTTTTTTTTTTTTTTTTTTTTTTTTTGTACAAAGGAGCAGAGCTCTGCTGACTTCAGAGACATTTTGTCAGTTTATAGCAAGAATAAATTCAGCTCTCAGATGAGAACCCATTTCTGCCACGAACTCTGCCAGGCAAATCACACCCGCTGACTCGCTCAGATGTTCACTTTGGCCTTTGTGGGTTTGTCCAAAGAGCCCCAAGCCCCCTATACGCACAAGGAGCATTCCCAACATCTCAATTATTTACACAAGGGAAGCAAAACCACATCCTCGTTGTGATACCTGGCGCAATGGCTAGAAATCAGGCATTGTGTGATGGACGAGCAGCAGCTCCACAACCTTTATGCAGGCTCCTACGGAGAATCTGGAATTATTGGTTTTAAGAGGGCTGTGGTAAAGCTCACACCAAGGCACTCTCTTGCCCTCCTAGTCAGCAGCCAGCTCTGTAGGACACTAGCTTGGGAAGGGAAATGAGAAAATGCTGCTCCAAGTAATTGCACATGGAAAGTCGGGGTCACTCCTGATAGCCTTACATTACATCTGCACGAATTCCTCCCTGTTATAAAGGGAGTGGTCGGTGACAATACCTTCAAGCAGGCTGCTCCAAACAACGTATGAATTTAATGACATCCCAAAAAACCCCTGCAGCAGATGGAGTTGAATAAATAAAGTGGAGGCGTGAAGGTACAGCGGGTTACAAACCCCACTCCCGCAGCAAACATCTGGGTCAGAAACCTGAGGGAGCACGGCCAGGTTGTTCTTTCCAGAGGAGCATGAACACAGACGCTGGAAGGCGTGGGAAGGAGAGCAAACAGACATCTGGAAACCACGGGGGTGCCTCGTTCAGCATCTCCCTCACTGCAGCAGAGCCCGGGAAGCCGTGCAGGGCAGCCAGGCTTGCTGGATCCAGGCTGGAGCCCGCTGCTCCTGGGACCACGGGAGGACTGCTGGGCTGTGATATCCGCCACCTGCACACACCTAGGAAGAAATCACAGGGAGTCAGAAGGAAGGAAATGAACCCCAACCATCCACGGCACCTTCTGGTACACCTGCAGCCTCTCACATCTTGCCTCAGATGGTGCTGGGCCTTACCTCCACGGGGCTGCTCGCAGGGCTTGGGATCCCTGCAGGGGATTTGCTCTGCCAGCAGGTTGCAGAAGGCCCTTCCGAGCTTTTGGGACAACGCATGAAACAATTCAGCCTCTGCTCAGCTTACCAGGGACCAGCACAAGAGCTCAGCTGAGCAGGATGGCAGGAGAAAAGCAAGGTCCCACAAACAGCAGTGGTGAGAGCGGTGTCTGAGCGAAGGGAGGAGGAGGAGAGGGCATTTCGAGGCAGGGCAGCCTCCCCCCTTCCACCACAGGCTGTGGCAGCGCCGTCCCTCAGGCTGGGGTCAGAGGCTGCCCGAGGACAGGCACGGGCCCGCCGGTCACTGCGGCGAGGTGCTCCTGTGCTGGGAGTGACCCAGGGACAGGGGCTGAGTGCCACCAAGGAAAACCAGGAGCTGGCTTTATCCTGCAGGGCTGCACGTGGGGCAGCCAAGGCCAAGCAGGCTTCTCTGCGAGTTTCAGGAGAGATGCCTGAAGGTACCTACCTGCTGGGGACTTGTTCTCCACATCAGATGGATTTTGGAGCTGAGGGACACTGAGATGCCTTCACACACAAATGCTAGCAAAGTAAATCACCAGCAAAGCCCCCCACACTCACCTGCTGACACTGCTGGGCCCACCAGGACCTCCCAGTAACTCACCAAATCCCCCTCACTCGCGGGGTGACGTCCAGGCCTCTCCTTTTCCCTTCCAGCAGGAGAAAGGACACGCTCCTGAACCTGTCTGACCGACAGGGCTCCCCACGCCACCATCCTTCAGCCAAAAAGAGCCTCGAGCATGCCACAGGACCTCTCAGTGCCACAGGCAATCCCTAGCTATGCTGCTGGCGTCCCCAACAGCCAGCTCGCTCATGCCATGAGACATGTTTTGGGGTGGTTTGGCAAGCCGTTCCTGGTGAAAAGGTTGACTAGATTGACACTGCAACTTTTTTGGTAGAGAAATGA